TTAAAGGTGATCTAGTTGCTAAACCAAGAGAATGGCGAAAACATAAAAACATGTTGGATATGTTGCGATCTCCAAGAAACACGAGTTCTCACTCACTTATTCAAAAATTAGCCAGAAAGAATGAGGGATATTACCATATCACGTATCTGTATTTCCACCAACCCCTCCACCCAAAGGTGAAGAATAACGATTTGGTGAAAAAACTTTGGCGACAAAAAGGGCTGGTACTAGAAAACAATGCAGTGTTTACGTTCAGAACCGTTCATCACTTCAACTATGGAATCTCAGCAAAAACGATTTCTTCCACATTATAATGACGGCAATGGTCGAACAAGGTTCATCCGTTTATATAAGAAAAGTAATGAGCCTTTACTGTTAACCTTCGTAAATGGTGTTCTTCGAGGACGAGTTAAACGTAAAATCCTTTTCTTGCATATCATTCAAAAAAATTTCGATCAAGTGCCAATGCGTGTACTTTGAGGAGAGTGAATAAGAAATATCCATTACAGTCACCACAATACTGCCTGTTTCAGTTTCACGTTTCACATACTGTGTTCCTGCTACTACAGAAGAGGAGAGCGGTGTTGGATTAGAGTACTGCACATAGAAGTATGTGACTTCTGTAGCAAACCCTTGAATTACGACCGCTCAATGAATCAATCCTTTACTTCGAAATAGTAATTGATATCGAGATGCGATAAGGGCAAAGCACCAGTTGGCCCGCCGTCACCGTTCGATGCGCCCCGTCATCTCACCTCGATAGAACTGACAAAATAGATAAAGAAATGAAGATAAACAAGACAAGTACGAAAACCAAGGGGGTAAGCACAACGGGGAACGAAAAGCGCGTCAGCTGTTGCGCCAGCGAAAGTGCACGCGTGATGCGCCAGGCGTCCACGTGCTGGCACCGATCACGTTGCGGTCAAAGCGGCGGCGTGTAGAGTGCAGACGGGCGGAGTCGAAACGTTGGACGGAGGGGGGAGGGCGGACAGAGACGAAGCGGAATCAGCTGAGAGCGCAGCTCATTGCAGCAGATATGCCGTTCATGGGACGTGATTGGAGAGCCCCGGGTGAAACCTGGGTTCGAACACCTCACACCAACGGCTGGGAACGATCCAAGCTGCGACCCATACAGGTAAGCCTGCCCGTTTCACGATTTTGCTTTGAATTGGCTGTAAATAGGCGGTGAAGTTCATGTTGACGTTTCTTTTGAATTCATTTTCTGTTGCCATCATTACGAATTCATAACCCGGGAGGGCAAATTGTCAATTTTGTCTTTGTCTGGGGAATTCTTCCTGTCTAATTGCAACCTTGAACCTGATTGCGCACAGATAGTTGTGGGGCTGGCCTGAATACTGTCTGTCTGTACAATGATTAATGCCGCATACGTCCGTCTGACTAACATCCTCATCATTGTTGAAGCGGGTGGGGGTATTCGGACGGACAGAACGGACCTTTAAGCCCATACAACTTTGTCTCGGTTTCAGCGCCACGAATCCATTCCCTCATTCCGTTGCAGGGCCATTTTCTGTTCACCAAAAAGCTCCAAGTACATTTAAAATTGTTCCCGATTTCATTTTTCTCTCGTCGTTTTTCATGGGTGATGTCTTGGTTGTGTTGTGCCATGAAGCAGTCTAATTATGGGCTGTCTGTCCTCATTACTGGCATGACGCACGAAACGAGCGGGGCCGCCCCATGGCTCGAGTTTTTGTCCGTCGAAAATTCCCTTGCATAGGATTAGAATCGAAAAGTGGCTGTCATTTCAGGCCTCGCACACATTTCACACTAAGGCAATCTACGGGAACAGCCAATGACTGAATGAATCAGGGGGGACATATAGTGAGGTTGAGGTCAATTTGTCCCGTTATGTTAAACAGCGAAATGTTTGCCGACAGCCGGCTGGCCCGTATTCGTCCGTTGTTCCGCTCTTGCGCACTAAGCTGTCGTCAGCGTTCGCTTCTTCCACATCATCATCATCACAGCTCACCCCCTTGGTTTCCCCTTTATGGGAAAGACGCCAGCATTTTTTTGGAAATGGCAGATGACGACGTTGCGAATCGACAGAATGTTAGACGGACGAGCGGTTTTTCGGAACGACTGACCTTTTTCGGTGTCAACTTTCAGTGGGATAATCGCCAGTCGCGGCAGATTAGGGGGAACCTTTTCAGTTGGACCCCCATCTTTTAGGCCAAGCATGATTAATCTGACGACAACGATGTGTTTCCAACGTTTGGGAGACTGAGAAGCTCGGAATTGTTTTGCACGAGGCCAAGGAATGTGACCAAAGGACACATCGGTAGTTCTAAACATGCTTGCAAAACATTGGAGGTGCTTATCGCAGTCGTTGTCTGCTTAGAACATTGTCTGAGGAGATCCCATCATCGAAACGGTGGTGTCTTCAGCAGCGTAACATTTATCTGCACATAGCCATCTACAGCGGCCACATATACGCACTCCCACATACACTCCTTTTTCTCACTCCCCATGTTTCTCAGCGCCCCACCTCCTACGCCCATCTCGTCGCCTTCTCCTCTTCCGTCCGTCCTCCTCGTCTACAGCGCAGCAGCAGTCAATAAAAGTCTGCACGGGCGGTAACAACGACCACATATGGGAATAAAGAAACCAAGGAGGGGGTTTTTTCCTTAACGTAATAGCAAAAGCAACTGTTCAGAGCAGGATGAATGTACGCTTTATGTTGAAATGAAGGTTGATTGCTCACTTCTGGGTGGTCTGCCAGCAGTGGTGTGACTCTGATTTCGCAACTGCAAAATGACTGGCAAATTTGAAAGCGAACATAATTGAAAGCTGCAAAGACTGACTAGCTGCGGGGTGTGCAGAAGTGAATCCCATCATAAACAAGCCCGTCATTTTCCAAAATGGGACAGAGAAATCGTTTGCACACCAGAGAACAGGAATATTCGAAAGCAACTTGAACCCGTGCCCTGATGGTCCTGATGCTTTTGGCCCCACCTTTTCAAGATCCTCTTTGACTTCCCCTGTGACTTCATCGAAAGTGCTGTGATGGGGGTTCTCCATTAGGCGGTCGGTTAATCTTTTGACGACAATGACACCCACCGGTGGGTGCCACTAGGACTGGCTCATGGGACATTGCCACCCAATTTTGGGTGCCACCATACTTTCTTGCTTCTTACCAATTGCTAAGTTCAGTAAGCCAGTGAAAGAATTTTCTCCTGGGACAGTGCCACCCACCGGCCAGTCGCGCACGAAAGAAGGGGAGAGTGGTCCCATGGNCGCCTCACATCGAAAGCCGCATTGTCGTCAAAGGGTTAAGATGAACCTGACGCTGCTACCGGGCTATTTTTGTAACTTTTGTTAGGTATGGCTTTTGCCTTGGCAGGGATCAAACCTATGGCTTTCGTTACAAACTTTCAATTTCAGATTGTTTCGGATGCGATTCCTATACCGGGGGCCGTACCTGAAAATGAGATTTGCCACACTGAATCTGCTACTTCCCTACTAAGCTTGGACAGTGGTACTGGCAGTCGAAGCGGGTCACTTTCGGAAGATCCCGGTAAGTTTTTCTTGGTTTTCTAGAATTTTCTATAGAAGTAAAAGTTTAGTTGTTGGCATTGATCGGCCCCTATGCGTTCGACTGCAATTAAGAGTCGTAGAGGTATTTAAATGCGTAATTTGCGTTTAACCTGAATTGTATGGTCAGGGCAATGTTCGGTGCCGATGATTCGGGGTGAACGGGGTCGGGAATAGGAAGGAAACCTGCGTATGGGAGGTGCTGTCGGCCTGAAAGGGTATAAGGGCGAAAGCAGCTTCAATGGCAACACCTAGGCGGGTATAGGGGCGAGAGCGGCTTCAGTGGCAGCACCTAGGGCCCAAGCCATGTTCCGGGACCCATTCCCAGCCAGACTATACCTTCGAAGTAGTCGGGTGATGTGGGAGTTACGAGGCCCAATCAATGCTGATAAGATAATGTAAGGCAGGAGTCCCATAAAGGGGACTGTAAAGGAGGTGGTATGACTACTGTCAAAGGCTGAAATCAAGTGAGCAATAAGAGATGAAAGCATAGTTGCCGTGGTCGGGATTTGATCCATGACCGCGTATCCAGTGGCTGCACATCTTGCCACTATTCCGAACCGCTATCATATCCCATTCTGCTGATTCCTGAACTATGTGGCGGGCCGTGTTTTCTCAAAAACTCTTTGTTTTTGTTTCTTAATCTGTTTACTGATGTGATCCTCCTAGACGTTGTATGGGGTTTGATCCCTCGCAACGCCGCAGAACACATCATGAGCTGTCCGGGATCTTTCCTTCTCAATCGCCATACCCTTAGGGGTTACCCCTACAAAAAACCTCGTGCTCATTACACTTTAGGGTCGGTGGCGATCAGCTGGTTAAAAGCTCGTGATAGCCCCCAATTATCTGCGCTTCCCTCAAAAAAACTCGTGCTCATTACACTTTGTGGTCAGTAGCGATCAGCTGGCCAGATGCCCGTGATTGTCTCTAATTAACAGTGCTCAGATGAGACTTCTCGCTAGGAACCCGTGATCATTACAGCATGGGGCTCAATGACCATCACTTGGCAACTTGCTTTGTGATAGTCCGCGTTACATAGATGCTCTCTAATCACCTGACCTTGTCCACGAAACCAGCTGCGTGTGTTTTTGTTATCACCGTGGCGGCAAAAGCAAAGAGAAAACGATCCACGAAGAGCACGAGCAGCACCTCGTACGTAAAAATCATCGTCTGTTGTGGCTAGACGGATCCCGTGTGACTGCCACCGGCTGTAGTCCATCTGAATTGGATCCATCCCATCGAACACCAACAAAAACACCAACTTTTATCGATTTGAGTTGAAGGAAAAGGACGGTTCTGCTGAGTAATCATTCCTTTGCTTACATCTTTGGCACCTGGGAGTTAAGTCATAGTGAATAGGTTAACGAGCACTCAACACGTTGCTCATATTGATCCTGGGCGACCACCGGCACTCTTGCCTTCCTTTGACTCTTCTCCCGCATAAGCCGTTAATGGCTTCGGCTAGTTAGATTAGTTTGAAGGTGTGAAAGCAAGCGAATGACAATTTTGTGACGCCATTTCAGTTTCGGAACTCGACGAGGCATGGATTCCACACTGTTTTGTCAAAAGCAAGTCTAAAGAGGTGAGAACAGTTAGATATCGTCGAAAAATTAGAGATTCATTGCCTCAGCCCTCGAACTAAAAGGTAAGAAAAGGTACGAAGACAGGAAGGAAGGGAGCGTGAGGGAGTACGGGTTATACCAGTAAATATTTATGTCAACAAAAAAGCAAACACGATTTTCGTTTCGGCGAGGGCCATGTGAAAGACAAGACGGAGGCTCAGTGAAGAACTGTTTAGATCGTCAGATGCGGCGAGAAGAAAACGTCCAGAGGACACATCTGGTAAGCCGTAAGCATATGGTAGACGCAATAAAGGGAGCGATTGAAGAGTATGTAGGGGATGGAAGGAGAAGGGACCTAATTAGTTCATAAAATTTGCATCTCCAAAAACCTAATTATCTGGGATCTCCTAAGGGGTTCTGGATGCTCGGGAATCGCAAGCCGTGCCCCATCGGAACTGGCGATTTTTTTTGCCCCGTCATAAGGTCCAATACCGGGCAAACTGCCAAAATGAATTTTTTCTCCTCATAAAAAGTCTTAGCCGCTTCCAACCATCACGGGGCTTCATTCAAAGGGATAAACAAGGATGTATGAATTTTTTTCGTTTCCTGGTCCATCTTCTGTTGTCACACCGCCGCCCAGACAGTTTTTTTTTCTGTCGCACAGCTGATATCAGCTGATGGGCTGGCTAATGTTCTGCTGCTCCTCCGGTCGTGGAGTTCATTTGCACTTTTGACGGGGTGATTTCACATCGTTTTCATCATTTTCAGTCCTGATTCAGTTTACACCTGCCCCTAACAGATGCCATTGCAAAAAGCCGAAATTTCGTGCAAATCACCTGAATTTTATGAGTCAAAGTGCGAATATTAGTGGATTACAGTTGTTAAACTATGAACGCTATAGGACTATGACGAAAGGGAGGCATATCTTGACCGAATAGAAATATTTAAATTAATTTCTTTGATTGCAATTTGATTTTATTTTTGTTTATTTATTACTAAATTTCAGTTCATTGGATGTACGAGTATTAGCGAAGCGTTTCATCGTTTGGATTTAGCTCGAGGCGTTTCCGACGTTCGTCGTTTCAGCTATATCGCCAAGGTACTTCATTTATCTTTTTTTTTGAAATAACTTCGTAAAACTCGGTGAATGGCACCTTGATGCATGAGGGGGTTCCCAAAGGCGCGGGCTTCCTCGTCAATTGAGTTTCGCCGTGGATGTCAAATGAACCCTCCCATACTTCCGGATTCAGTAAATTAGCACCAGGCTCATTACGAAGGGTGAAGCGGTGATGTGGGTTCCCACCAGTTCTCTGACTCATTCCACACGACTGCATATATTTAACTGGGCAGAGGTGGAGTGGTGACAAATGGCTCACTATCACATACGCATATGTAGTGTGGGGACCAATTTTGGATCGATACTCACCCAGCTCAACCAAGCTTCCCCTCCTCTAAGGGTCGGTCAGTAGGTATCTGAGTGATGAAGGCAATGATTTGTTCATCACCTTGCCACCGCCAGTCATTGTATAGGCCTCATACACATTCAATACGCCGCTACGATTCTGAATGGAATTCGAATGCGTGGCGCATGCCAAAAAACCTTCCTACGTGATACTGTAAAATCCCAACTAGGGATAGAGTCTGTGGTCGAAACGACCACCTAAACTACTAGCTTGCCCTTGCCTCGTGGAGTTCCCTACGAACGAGCTGCAACTCCGGTACATGGGAACCTTTCTATAAGGCCATTTAAAGTGTTCTGTCGATTTGGATCTTTGCCAAGTCGATGCATAAAGGTTTCCGATTCGTGAACGTTCCCTTTTCTAATCGTTTTTGGGCTGAAAAACACAATAGCTGTCTCGTTCCAAGCCAGATTGCTGCTTTATCAGACGACGGACCGTCACAGTGATTTGTCAGCTGTAATTCGCTCGTCTTTATGCTTTTCTCGTTTTGTCCAGCGTGACAGGCACAACGTCTGGCGATAACGGAATAGCCATTTGTAAACACTTACAAACTACCAAACACTTCGCACAGGGGCACGACGACGACTATGTGCTCAAATGCAAATACTCGACCCCCCAAACATCCCAATAATAACATACCGGTGACCCTTCACTGCTAATCACTAAAAAACAGCGAAGCTTTTTGAGTCATTCACATTTAGTCAACAAGATTTCGAAGGAAAAGTTCATTGGGACCATCTTATCTTAGGATTACTTCCACTACTTTCAGGTAGTCGAGATACTTGTCCAGGAAAAGGTCCAGAATCTTTCGGGTAATGCTCGGAAGTCATTACTTGGGATTCTGACGGCTATTGTACTACGATCTTCTGAAGAAGACGTACACATATCAACAGCCCGAGAACTGGTTCAACAGGTTTGTCCACTGTTTCCAATTGCTTGTTTTTTGGATTCCATGAATTCTGATGAACATCGTTTACTGGGTTTATGAGCTATTCATAGTATTTTCATGGTTGATAGCATTCTCCCTGTGCCTCCCCGTGAAGGGTTACTACATCCCTGGAAATTAGCATAGGAATGAGGGAAGGGGCTGGGGAGTGGGAGAGGGTTGATTCGAAAAAAAAGCATTTGTATTCAGCTTCGAATCATCCTTTTCCCTCTCTCGCCGTCATCCCCGCTCCCAAACAGGATCAAAATTGAGCAGTAGTCGGAAACAGATCTGCTTTAAGCAGTACTTGAGCTCTTACATTTTTTTTTGTTTCAAAAAAGAATTCACTTAGTTTTTTATTCTAAAATTTGGAAAAATCGACTGGCCAAGCAGAACTGAGTGAATATCGATATCCTTACCAGTTATGGTACCAGCTATCATGGCTTGATCTCGCTCCTGGCCTCCTGGGGGTGAATGAGGTTCTCCTTGTTTCCGACATTGACTATTGAACACCAAAATTGTGTCCCGAATTGTAGCCAATCCTATTTGCTCAGCCGTTGCCTCCGCAATTCAGTCTAGAATGCTGAAAATATATATTTACATGGATTGCTTCCACGATTCTGAAATAATTCAAAATTTTTGAATGACTGTGACGGGGGGAAAGGGGATAGGGTGATAAGGGTCCCCAGAATGAATCGGTATTAGTATAGGTCGTCGCAATTGTTATGGTCATTTTATTCAGGGTTCCTTAGATGGGAAGGTATCGTTTCATAGCAATTATCCTTTTTTATCTGTTTTCTAAGGCATAAATTTCACGTAATTGCTATCTATGAGTTACGGGAAGACCTTGTGGGGCGCATTGATTGGCCACGGTATTCCCCCGTTGAGTGAAGTGGTGGGTTGGAATGAGTTTCATTGTATGGGACGTATGGCAGACGAAGGTTGTTTGCCTCTTGTCGGGTCGTTGTATGTATGTATGAGGTATTCCGTTCAAAGGGGAATGGGGAGGAAGCGAACGAAGGGAATAGGCAAACATTTCGCTGACATTCTCCCCTACTTTGAAATGGAGTCTAGTCTGCTTCCAGAGGAAAACAGTAGGCTTAGCTGAGTTTGTGAGGTGTTCCGTTGAGTTGCTGCAAACTGGGATAGGCCTCAAAAGACTGAGGAATTTGATAGTTTTTCGGGGGATAAAGGCTAAATCGAGGTAGCAACGGCATAGTGCTGAGCGGCGCCACTACCAGATGAATGGCCTAAGTATCGAATTCTGGGTAGATACCCTCCGAGACGGGAAACTTCCTTCCTAGTCGTGTGAGAAGATGGAGGAGACGGATCTAAACTCAGATAGCCTTTGAAGTTACTAAAGCTCAGGTGAAGTACGCTTCAAAAGGATTTTCAAGCCGAATAAGGAGGGGTGATGCATCCCGATTTAAAATTGATAGATATCAAAATCTTCATTTTTTATCTTCCGTGAGTGTCATCAGCTCAGATCCACCTCTGACGCGAACTTAGAGATAACGAACCCTCAAAATACGTCAAAGCTCTTTCCTGACCCTTTTTGGGATGGCCGTCAGTGGCAATTCATCAAGTATCTCCCTAGAGAATCGAGCTGAGAACTCTGATGCTTTCCCAGCGCTCTCGTCTAAAGCATATCCCCATGACAACCCATGTCAACGTTAATACGTCAATGAGGTCTTGACTAATTGACCTTCGAGTGAATATTCGCGCAAACCCATCCGGCAGTCAACCATCTGACTACGATTAGATCGAATTTCAGTTCGGTCAAGCTCTCGACGGCCATGTGTGCGGTTCACCTCAACTGGTATCTCGCCATCAGCATGCAGCTAGTTCACTTCTGGACGTCATCTCTGATAGACAGCCAAAAACGGTAGCGTCTGCCGACGAAGCCAGCACCACGTTCCTGGATCTGCCCAGAGAGGTTGGCTTGAGCTGTACAAGTATTTCAGTGTAATTGAATTTACCTCTTCGGATCCACTGACTAAGATCATCCCATTCAGATTCTCTCGCTTGTGCTCCGACGCCTTCCTGATGATCGCTCCCTCCTGGAAACAGCTAAGGTACGCGGAAAATATTTTTCTCGAGATTTTTGAGAACTGAAAACCGATCGGTGGTGCTCGCCAATGGAAGAGTCGTCCGTGGAATATTTTATGCGTGGGACCTACTCCAATCAATCCCAGACTTCTCCGACCACGGAAACTTTTCTATTTGGGTTCCCTGAGCTAACTATACAGTTATTGATTAGCAATGAAGATGGTTCTGGTCTAAAACTGGGCCCATACTAAAGAGCTCTGGGATATCGATCCCACGGCCAAAGAGATCAAGTGGGAGCTATCAGTTTCATAGAGGCACCAGCTCCAAATCTGAACGGGGAAAATGCCCTTCCCCC